TTGAATTTGAGATTGCAGAGGTGCCACTGTTTAATCGAAAGACTAAATAACGCAGTCTTGTTCTTTTTGCTCACTTACAGGTAGCACAGACAATAACATTCCAGAATCACTGGTCAACCTGCCATTCATTGTCAGGAAAAAGATTGCTCTAGAGCTTGACCATGCTACAATAGCTCAATTCACTGAAGTGGTTCATAAACTAGCATCATCTGTTAGCTCTGCTGAAATAATGGCCCTTCAAAAACGTTCCTCTCCAACTATGGCCCTTTTAGAGGAACTAGAAACGGCTTATCCATCACTTCACATATCGCATCTTCAAGAAGCATGTAAGGGGCACGTTGGCGGTGTAGAAGTGAYATTGAAGGAATACACAAAAACTTTAAAACATAGAAAATTGAAACTCAGCACAAAGGCGAAAAGGATGGAAAGTTTAAAAAAACTGGAGCGTGTAGGCGGTGATTCTGGGGTCAGTTTGGGAGCACCCATGTCACCATGAATAAGTAATCGTCGATCATGCAATGGACAGTAATTCAAATGGATACCAGCAAGATTATTGTACATTCAGAAATGACTTTTTTTTTCCAGGAGAGGAAAGGCTCTATAAACCTTTTTCMCAGGAAACTCAAAATTTCTATAACTAAAAAACATTTCTCTGAACATTGAATTGAGATATGGCACATATTTGRACAGAACAGCTTGTTTTGACAAGAACGCTTTTATAAGTAAGTCTTTTAATTGCGTTAATGTTGTGCATGTATATTGAAAAGTGATGCAAACGTGCGTGATATTAGAAAAGTAAAAAAAAAATGTTCTGGCCTCTTTTGGTCAATCTTGTTGCGTAGTTCGTATTAATTCTTCGGAAACGCGGCTTAACTTCTAACAGGTAATTCTTAGGAATTAAAGAAAGAGCTGACATTCCAGTCATGGCCAAGCCAGAACGAMCAGGAATCCCATGTAGTATACGTGCTAAATCATCAAATGGTAATTTCGGTGTGTGTCCTTAAAATGATATTTATCTGGAATCAATGTATTCATTCAGTTCAAACAAATGTCATTTATTCTTCAATTTGCCGCAGGATTTTGTATGCTTTGGTAAGCACTGCGGACGCATTTGATTCTATTTCCTTGTCATAAATGTCTTTGACAGTCTCTAGCCAATTCTCAGTGCCGTACACTACATATGCAATGTTGTATTTCTTTGCCTCTTTGTCTGACTGGAATAGCGTGAGACAGTCCTTTAAATCAGCAATCATCTGAATGCAACCTTTACCACGATAATAAGCTAGATGATACTGCCCCATTCTGTAGTATACTTCAGACATCAAAAACAAAACTTTCATTCGTGATACTCTGTCGCCTCTCTTTTCTGCTAATTCAAGGCATTCCAATCCCCATTCAATAGCATCGTTGTATTTCTTCATTCCATGATATGCATGTGCCATAGCTAGATGAGCTTTTGTAGAGGATTTCCTGTCGCCAATTTCCTCTGCCATTAAAATACATTTTTTACAGTGCTGAACAATTTCAGAGTACCTCTTCAGGCTCAAGCAGGCTTTAGTTTTTGATAAATATGCTTCTACCTCTTGCTGTTTGTTATGTGCTTGTTTGGAGATCTCGATGCATTSCGTGAGGAAGTCTATGCCCTCTTCATTTTTGTCAATATCTATGTGTGATTTGCCAAGTAGAAAAAATGCCTTCATTTCAACATCAATTGAGCAGCATCTTTTGGCAAGCTCCTTGGCAGCTTTGCTGCAAACGATTCCATCGTTGTGACGATTTATTGACTGGTACAGCTTGGCCAGTGACAGATACACATGCATCTTAAAACGCTCATCGTGCGTTGCTTCTGTTACTTGAAGACATCTTTCACAATATTTTTGCACAATGTCCTCTTTCTCTTGGAGTTGGTAGTTCTTTCCGAGGGCCAGGTATGCTTTGATTTCAGCGGCTGTATTGCCACTTTGCCTAGCCAACTCCGCGCACTTTTTGCTGAGTATTTCAACTTCGTCGTAGCGGTGCAAAGTATTCTTTAGCATGATCATTATCAAGCAACCATCTATCTSTGCTTGTTTGTCACCTTTCTCTTCTGCCATTTCAAGACCTATCTTGATTTCGTGTGGTTGGCATCCTCGTACTGACTCGATTCATAGAATGCCCTCCCACGTAGTAAGTGACACCTCGTTTCTTTTGATTTATCACCTGTAGCTTGAGCATATTGCATGCATYTATCGTTGTAACAAAATGCATCATCATAGCGACCCTCGGAGCAAGAAACACTTGTAAGTATAAACCAAGCATCTGCTTCAACTTCTTGAAAACCACATGGTTCTGCTATATCAAGAGATTTGGTTGTGCATTCTTTTGCTTTATCTTGATAGTCCATAGAGCAGTAAATGCTTCCCTGTAAATTGTAGGCATGGGCTTCTGTAGCTTTGTCTTCCTTTTGTTTGGCCATCTTAATGCAATTCTGTGCACTGATGACAGCATCTTCATATTGATTATTTAAGAACTGAGCTTTACCTAGCGCCAAATGAGCCTCCATTTCAGCTTTACCATCTTCACAATCTTTCGCCACCTTTACGCACTTTTCAAGAAGGGCAACAGATTTGTCGTATTGCCCTAAAGACAGGAAATGTTTTCCAAGGATGAAATAAGAATTTACTTTGCTTCCTTCAGCATCTGCATTCCTTCTAAAAGCAAAGTAAAACATTTCATTTCAGCCCTTAAATAACGAGTCACTGACGATATCAACGCATGCATAACGTATTGAGTTTTGCATGCTCCGTTTACACAAACAGTTGGATATACTTTTCCTGGCGATTTTTCTGGGGGATTTTCTGGACTAGTTTGCTCATAAGTTACAAACGGCCATAAAGAATTCAAAGTAAAAGGCGGTATGCGGGACCTACATACAACAAATAGTGACGCTTATGCTTTGGAGGCCAAGGATGCCACAGCGAACAGCTACCCCGAAAATATTTTAACATTAAGCTGGCAGATCGTGTGTGACCATACAAGAAGTGGGGGGCACTCTCTGAAAATTCTGATGTATTTGTATATATGTTTTTCATTAAATATAATATCATAATAAAAAATAATAATATGATTAATCAAACACGTTTAACTCGTATCATGGTTTCCATAACAATTTAGGAAAAAGCGTAGGCAATAATGACCTCGTTTTATCTTTCAAGACCTCTACGGATGCAGAATCTATATATGTGTCCTCCCCCTTCGAAATTTCTGGATCGGCCCTTGCATATCATTCAAGTTGGTTATTACCTAGTTTTGGAGGTTGATGGTGGGTCTCCTTGCTTGAGGTATTCTTTTCTGCGCTGTAAGTTGTCGTCACTCCTGCTTAAGGGCGACTTACCAAATGCTTGGTAACCTTTCGATATTGGCAGCGTAGGGTCAGAATAGCGACGGTTCATCTTGGCTTTAAAAAGTAGATAAATGGTTTCAACAATCTAATCCAAAGTCAATTCATACAAATTTATTAGAGAAATATAGTTTTTTTGAAAACGTACCTATTTGTTTCTTTATCAACGTATGATAAACATCTTTGTAATTTTCCTCGCTTATTTCAACTTCAAATCTCATATCGCCTGTATTTGATTCGCCAATCAGTACCATTTCTAGGTCCTTTTCCAGTTTACCGCTCTTATATCTAGTCAAAAACATGTCGTATAAATGAATAATTGCTATAATTTGTTGACTTTCATACTTTACTACTACAATGTGAAATGTTTGAGTCTTTCACTGTAGACTGACTCCATGCAAAAATGTATCTCGTGAGAGAAATAGAAACAAATAGTATAAACTGAAAACCGATACATGCACACCTCTTCCATAGTTCTTCAAGAGTATCTGTATCTGTAGCCTCAATCACCAATATAACCGATCCTGGAAATAACCCCTTGATGAAGGTCCCAACTGGAAGGACCGCGCTACCAATCAATGATGCAGCATACTCAGGTTTATCAGCAAATTTCCTGCACACCAATACGGTACCTCCAATCACCGTCGCCGCGGCTAGTCCCTTAACAATGTTTTCTCCTCTACACCATACATAGATCTCTATAAATTCCAACATAACACACAGTTGAAAAAACAATAGTATTTAACATTGATGAATATCATATGAACAAATTGCCTTGTGTAGAGCGTGGATTTTATAAACCTGTGACATTCGTTTTGTCCATTAAATTTGCTTATGTCATAACAAACTGTCAGTGCAGTCGTCACTGTTGGTGGGTAATAACTATATGCAGGAAAAAGTGTCCCGCTATTCTATAAAAAGTTCGAAAAAATTCTATAAAAAGTTCAAGAAAACTTAGATTTCTGACGCACTTTGACATACTAATTCAGGAAAAGATTGGAATCCAGACCACTCTTATGTAGAACAATTTCTTTTTAAAATGTTGATTCGAGTTTTGAGTGCGACACACCAAGCGATACATGCTTCACTGCGGGCTAATACTCAATGTATACTAAGTCGATTTCGCCTATAAAAGAAGGGTAATGACGTTAACTCTTACCTTGATCGTGATGATTTTTAGCACATTTATTCTCTTTCACCTGGTTTATAGGGGCACCGTTGTTATTTCCATGTGTTTCAATATTTTCAATAAGGTCTTCCCGACCAACCGCTTCAAGTAATTTCACAAGAAATTCCAACTTTTCTTCTGACAGGTAGCCTATTCTTTCCAGTGTTTGGCAAAACTTCAACTTAGATCCATTTTTTAAAGTAATTTGGTCATCAGAAGACATATTTAATTCTTCACTGCATAGGTATACCATCGCTTCAAACTCTTCATCAGTAAGCTTCTGAAGACAACGGCAAGAAATGGATACCAATAGCCTTTTTTTCTCAGAAAGTTTGGATTGGTGTTCGTTTTTAACTGGCATTGCTATCAGCTTAATTGTGGTCTTATATTTAGCATTCAGCAGTTATTGACTCAGAAGAAACATACATACTAAGTAGCTCAGTGACACGGAACTGCTTTGCTACGTCTCACATCCGTCTCTGACGATATAATAATGTTTGGGTTGGAGCTGATTGGTCATTACAGACGAAGGCATGCTAGTGTGTTCCAACTCATTGATTAGGTGGATTTGTTT